CGCCGCCCCGCCGCCCGCTCCGAGCCGCCGCGCGGCCGCCGCTCACCGCCGGGGTTCCGCGGGCGGCCGCCGCTCGCTCGGCCGCGACGGAGGGGCGGGCGGAGGATGCGGGGTCCCCGGCTCCCGTCGGGGCACGCTCTGCGCCCCGCTCCCGCAGCCCCGAGCCCTGGAAGCCCGAGCGGAGAGAAACAAAAGGTATTTGCTGACGTGGGCGTTGGACAGAGACGCCCGAGGGCTGGGGACACAATTAAAGGGGCAACGCACCGATTGCAGGCGCAGCCCAGCAGCTTCCTCCGCCTCACCGCCCTGCAGCCTTCGCTGCCTTCCTTTCGCACCCACGTGCCGCTACCTGAGCGAACGTACCGCTGTTGTTAGAGGCTGGACAGCTTTCGCGTGTGGAAGGAAGGCGCCAACTGAATGGGAAATATTTGTAGTTCTGTAGAGTAACATTTATTGCTTTACTCGATAAGAGCATTTTTATAACAGGAAAGTGTTGTGTTCAAACAATGGGGGACACCCAAAAGCAAAGGACTGCAGATGGGTGTGTGCTGTTGAAACTGAAAGGATCCTGGGATCCCATTGATTCAGCTGTAGCCACACGGCTGGTCAGGCATTGTTTGAGCTTCCATAAGGTCAAAGTTAACAATAAATAGAGCTGAAGCATGGAAGTCTGACAGTGACCAGGTGCTTCGGGGGAGAAATGTTGTCATGTATTCTGTAAGTTTTATACCTACTATCTGGTTGTGACTCGACAAAGCTCTAAAAGCAATATTCAGATCAGCTCCTGAGAAGTGAGTTAAATTCCTGGTAACAGCCTGTCATGGTCTTTGCTTTCCCTTTTTGGAAAAACAATGCTATTTCTGCTAATGAATGGCATGTGATCCTAACAGGGGCGTGAAGGAGACAACCACAAGATGCAATGCGAGGAGATTAAAAGAAAATAAAACAGTATGATTTTAATTTAGAGGAAAACAAACAAAAGATATGATTGGATATGTAAAATGAAGAACATGGAAAATATAAGGCACTTGTCCTGTAATACAAAAATAAGGAAACAACAACCGAAATTAAAGCAGTAGATGTAGAATGGTCATCTTAAATACAAAACATAACTGGGAGTTGCAGTGTGGAGCTACAACTCCAAGCTTAGTGAGATGCTTTAAAAACAGCTACAGACATTTCGGCGTGGTGCTGAGCACAACAGAGATGCACAAAGCAGAACAGCCCTGCTTCACCAGGGCAGTCCGTTGCAGGCTATATACAGATCTCTCATTTGCCTGTAGCAGTGTCTTTGTATGGGCAGATGGCTCCATTTGCCCACGGCAGCCACTCCACGTCTCGTTTTTCCTAAAGAATGAGTCCTCACCATCCTCAGACTCACAATACCTAATTACATTGAATACTGATCCAGAAATCCCTTTGCTTCTAAAAACTCCCTGAAGGATACAGAAGTGTCGTTTTGCTGTTGGCAGTTAAGATTTCAGGCCTGGATTGGCACTTTTTCCCTTCCCTTCATGCATCCCAGACACAAACAGGGGTTTTCCAGCCCTGCTGCCCCAGGCTGTGGCGACAGGAGGCGTTTCTGTAAGTGAAAGGCAGCTCTCAGTTGTCAGAGCTCATCCCAGCGCCTCAGCCCAGCTCTGCAGCCTGCCCACATCCCTCCCAGGGCCTTCCTAAGCTCAGGCAGGTCGGTGCCTCCTCCCAGGTTGGGATCAGCACAGACCGAGGCTGCGCTCCATCCCGTGGTCCGTGAATAAATTTTACATGAAAATGCTTTTCCAGTTAAACATTTTTATATGCTTTTTCTTCACTCTTTGCCTAGCTTTTCTAGTCATAATATATGAAGACTTAATGAAATTTCATGGAAAATTATCTTTATTTCTGAACACTGAAGAGTAATTTACATCGGTGTGCAACTTTTTTGAGTATTCAGACCTTACCTCTTCGAAAGAGGTTCTGAGAAGAGACTCACTGCCTGCTGTAAAACTTATCCTTGCAGTACTTCAGCTTCCGTGTTCAGCCGCTGCTCCACCCAAGGGTGGGTTATTTCTAATGAGCAAAGTATGGGAATGTTGATAGCGAAACTCAGGACGGACTCAATGACATGTCCATGAACACATGCAAATCTGGGCCTGTCCAAGAGAAACCAAGAGGTCTTTGTAGATGACAGGCTGGTGGAGGGCCGCTGGGCAAGACAGGATTCCCACGCCAGAGGAGCTCCATGCGCCGATGTCTGTCTCACAACTACCTAATATTTGGTTTTACTTCCTTCTCCTCTGCTTCATCCTCACTGTCATCAACTTGCTGGATGACCAGATCGGATGAGCCATCCTCCACGATCTCCACATCAGATTTGTTGTCTTCCCCATAGTGCCACCTGGAATCCTTGTCCCCATCTGGAGGAAATTCAAGGGGTGCTTCAGCCTCCAAGTCAATGCGAATGCTGTCGATGCCGGCCTCAGCCAGGCACTCATTGCACAGCCTGTAGCGCCTCGTGCCCTCCTGCACCACCTGCCCCGTCAGCTCAGTCACGTGGCGTTTACACTTCCTGCAGATGAGCTTGCAAGCCTGATGAATCTGGGGAAATTGAGATGAATACATTTATATGGCATCAGAGAGAAAGCGTTTCAAGACGACAGAAAGTGAAGCTAAAGTGACACCAGTGGTAGCATGAACTGACTCTGAGGGGCAGTCAAAACTGATCAGGAAACCTCCGCAGCAGCTCTACGTGCGCCCTTCATCCCTATTACAGAACTCACACGGTGCAGTGCCTGCGTGAGCCAACAAAGAAATTCATCCCCTTTCATAGGAATTATGCTCCAAATGCCCTTAAGCCAAACCAAATTAATTATCTGCTACCTCTTCTGTACGGGAGCCAATATATCGACCAGCCAGGCTGGTGCCCAGTTTAAGCACACAGAACCAGACCTACAGCCCGACGCCGCGCGCAGCCGGCAGTACGCACGGTGCGGAAGTGGCTGCTGAGGTGATCCAGCCTGCTGAACCTCTTCCCGCACGCCTCGCACGGGTACGGCCGCTCTCCTGTGTGGCACCGCAGGTGACGCTTCAGGTCGGCCTTTCTTTTCACCATGTGAGTGCAGAACGGGCACTTGAACCTCATCCTGGGCAGATCATCTGTGGGGAGATAATTTGGTTGTAGATAGGAGTCATAGCACGTCCACGCCTTACAGTCACTGTAGTTACAGAAAGCAACAGAAACAGGATAGAAAATCGCTTCTATTCAACAAACATGCTGCAGGTCTTTTCAGATACAGCCCTTGTGTAAATTACACAGGAGTGCAACGAGGGAAAAGGAGCAGACTGCTAGCCATATTAAAGTGAGCTTAAAAATCCAAAAATGTCGTGACCGTACAGCTGTAAATGCACTGAAAAATATGTACTCTGAACAGCTAAATATCTATTTGCCACTGTCAAAGGGAAGATCTCAGCTTTCCAAGCTACATTTGTGGAAAACAGAGCATCCCTGGTTAATGCCCGCCCTCCAGCAGTGCATCTGCTCACTGACACAGCAGGCAGCACGAAAGAGACCCACTCCTACCTTCAGCCCAGCCGCCCATCACACCTACAATGGAGGGCATGCTGGGGTACTGCTCGTCTGCTTTGGGAGACCTGGATTTGCTGGAAGGTCGGGGCGAGTCGCGCTCCTGCTGCGGCACGGCCAAACTCCTGGGGAGCACATCAGAGCCCTGGCCATACGGATACCCCACGTGAGGAGATTCCACTTCTGGCTCCATCTGGACCTGGTCCTCAGATTGAGAAATGTGGCCCACAGGCTCAGCAGCCCGGTCCTCGAGTTTGCTCGCTTTATAGTGAGGAATGTCAGAAGGCTGCTGCAGTCCCAGGTGCCGGGATTTCTTTGTGGAATCCTGCCTTTGCTCGTGTTTGGACGGCTGCTGCTGCGCGTTCCTTTGAGCTGGATAGTAGCTGAAATTGCTCCAGGCGTTTCCCCTCACACACGTCCCTTGGTCTGGATT